GAAGAAAAATACAATACAGAATTTCCACCGGATAGTACCCACTCCCACTTAAAGAAACAAAATAAAAATTGGAGCTGATTTGAGCCTAAGAAAAGGATATAAAAGCTCATTAAAGGGACATCTTTGGCAATTGGACAGCATCAAAGCCAGGGTTCACAATGCTTGTCAGAACACGACCTCCCATCTTCAAAGGCAACTCGCCAAAGACCATCACTGCAGTAAGTCACAACTCACCCTGCCTCTCCTACTGTACGCCTCTGCAGATAACTTTTACGATTTTACTTATGTCCTTCTTTCAACGAGAGACATTTACACCGATTTACCATTTGTTGTATTTTTTATGTTAATACAATTGTTTATTTCTGTAGACCGTTCTTGTTTCTTCTTTGTTCTGCCACCAGACACTTAATATAACTACTACTACTACTACTACTATTACTACTACTGCTAAAGAAGCAAGAGAAATCAAATGAAAGAAAGACAAAAGAGTCCAAAATGAATAATAACGACAATGCTTCACCTAAGAAATTCACACAACATTACTACTACTACTACTACTACTACTACTAGGTGTAAAGAAGCAAGAGAAATAAGATGAAAGAAAGAAGTGTTAAAAATGAATAATAATGACAAGGCTTCATCTAAGAAATTAACTCAAATTAATACTACTACTACTAGGTGTAAAGACACAAGGGAAATAAGATGAAAGAAAGAAGAGTCAAAAATTAATATTAATGAGAATTCACACAAGATTATTTATCACTTTCTTTGTTGATATACATACTTTACACTTTATTCTCTGTAATTATGATCAGATACATTGTTTCTAAATATGAAACTTTTCCAGATAAGTAATCTCATTTCATGTCAGTGTCTTGAAACTTTTTTTTTGTTTGTTTGTTTTTGAAGGTCACCAAAGAAACGACAATAAACAAGGTCAATAGCAATTACCATGTGACATTTTGAATTTATTGTTTCATAATAAATTAAAATGTAATAAAGAAATAATGCAAGAATAATTATACACTGCTTTTTAAGTGCCATGTCCCTTCAGGATATAGGCACTTGTTTTCGCTTTGCAGCCTCTATTTTGTTTAATAGCCATAAATGCCATTTGTGAGCACTATTTCTTAGTTGGACTAAAAATAGTGGCAGCAATATTTAGCATAAGTAAATGATGGGTGTAAGGAAATAGAAAAACAATTCAAACAAGACAATATATTTTTATGTACATGGTTCAAACTGTTGTCCTCATCTTCATTGAAATGGCATTAGAATCCACATCACTAAAGCCAACTCTATTGCTGAAATACATAGATAGCACCTTCATACTCAGGCCGCACCAGCTACTACTGGACCATGTGAACTCAATAAGATCATTGATACAGTTCACAAGGGAGAAAGAAAATGACAATGAAGATGATAACAGTCTGAACAATGTAAATAATTACAATACCTCATCTCAGAAATATAGACAGTCCTGCAGAAGGCTGAAGTGTACAATGGTGGATATGTCGTGAATATGCAATGAAGATGAGGACAACAGTCTGAACAATTTAAATAGTGTAAATAATTACAATACCTCATCTCAGAAATAGAGATATGATATTTTATATTTTTGCTTTTTATATAGTTGAGTAAAAAGAGAACAAAAAAAAATTGCTTAAAGAAAAAAATAAATGGTCATTCTAATACACAAAAATGAGAGAAAGAAATTTACCTCCCTTGGACCTTATGTAAAAATGCTTTATTCTGAATATCAAAACTCAGGCATGCATGCAAAATGATGATATTGAAAAACATTTTGTATTTGTTATGATGGGCCTTGCCTGACTCCTGTTTTTGGTTAATAAAATACAACATACAAGGTCTGTCTGAAAAATAATGGAATTGGCTGTGCTGGGTGAACTATGGCCAAAAGAGGCATAAGTGAATCATATTATCATTTAACATGATATCTTGGGAGTATATAACTAATCTTAGTATTTGTGTCACAGTGTGTGAGAAGAGATGAGAGCTGTGGCAGGACAAATCATGGCTGCTTTACGATGACAATGCATCTGCTCACAATGCCTTCAGCATCCATCAGTTCCTTGTTGAGAAGAATATTGCTATACTAGAACAACCATCTTATCCCCCTAGTTCATTCAATGTTCGAAACGTTTGGACTTTTAAGGAGAATGGAATGTTTGAGCATCAAATCTTGTGAAGTTTGTTACATGCAAGAGCTTTGTGGATGTTGAAGGCTGGTTGCCAACCAAGGCACACATGCTGTTTTATCCATAGCCTTTATCTCTTATCACTACATTGGAAGCCTGCTCCTGCTATATGAAAATTATCATGTTTCTTGACTTGATTCAGTAGCGTATATCCCTTTATAGCCAAATGGTGTTATTCCTTTATAAAAAAAAATGCAAGCATTTTAACAACCAGTTCAATCTGGAAGTAGTTAATGAAGTATCTAATTGTATATTAAAGTGCTTTTTTTAATTGTTAATTATTTAAAGGCAACCGTATTCATTTCAAAAATAATTTTAGCTAACAGAAAACAAAACTGTACAAATAACTAAGTACTCTCAAAACAAATTGTCTTTAGTTTATAAAAAAGCAAAAAAAAACTGCTTGAAGGAAAAAAATACTCATTCTCATACAAAAATACACGAATGTGAAAGAAATTTACCTCCCTTGGTTGGACCTTATGTAAAAAATGCTTTGTTCTGAATATTGAAACTTGTGTTTTATTTTACTTAAATCTGATGCTATCAATCATACCAAATGGCATCTGTATTCCTGTTTTAAAAGCAAAAGAATTTCATAAGAATTCTTTCAGACCTTTGATGGAGCCAACCAAAAACTCACTCATTGGCAAGTTGTAACACCCAGTAGACAACATTCCTGTTCTTACAGTTAGCTTACTAATGGCCAGCTACCATTGTTGAATTTAAAGAATTTCAATTCTTTGAGGATTTTTGATTTTAAAAAATTGTATTGTTTTTTTCAAATCAATCAAAAACGAATTTAAGAAAGAAAAAATGGTTATGGTATCTTTTTGAAAGTTGTTTAATTTATTCCAGCAGGCATTAAGGATCTTTCATTATTATTATTATTGTTGTTATCGTTGTTGTTGTTGTCGTAGTTCTAGTAGTAGTAGTAGTAATAGTAGTAGTAGTATAATTGACCTGTCCATCCCTTCATTATTTTGCACAACCGTTATGCCCTGCCCTTCCCTGCCAACACCTCCATAAATAATGGACTATTCTGTTTGGGTGGAAAGACAAAAGACTAATCATAGATGCGACTTGCAAGAAGTGTTTAATGTTTCCAGTTAATGTCTCATAAATAACTGACTTTTTTCTTTCTTTCATTTTTTTTTCTTCTTCTTATGTTCACCCAATACAAGGCCCAAGAGCCACTCAAAGTAGATGGTTACTGTGTGGTGTTGTATGAGCATAAACAAGGGAAAGAAGTGAAGTTCCTGGGGCAGTGCAGGAAAGATAGCAGCTTAACTCTAGACTTGAAGAGGTGAAGGTTGTTTTGATTGAAAAAAAAAAAAACAAAAAACAAGTGAATGAACAAACTTTACAAGGGATCCGGAAACCCGACCCAATCCAAAACAAAGAACAAGAGATAAATCTCTACTTGTGTTCAAAAGACCAGCAAAGAGTGTGAATAGAACGATAGGTGAACCTATCTACTCTTATTTCATTTTGGGAGAAGATAAAAGACATATCAAAGATGCTACTTGTTTTCTCAAAGAAGATGAAAGTAAGAAAGGAAGATAGACGTATTTAAGGGCAGCTTCAATGAAATAGAAAAAGGTCAATTTCAAATCTTTTCATTTGTACCTACTTACTTCTTAAAATAACTTAAATTACTTTGACCCCATTCTTTGTTTTCCATTTGTTGCATGTGCAAATTTACACAGATTGAATATTATGTTTATAGACTTTATAGTTGAAATCCATTACTATCCATTACTAATACTATCAGAGCCGCTAGCCATTCCTCCACGATGCCTCTTCAGGGAGGCATGGTGGAGGAATGGATAGCAGCTCAGATTGAGAAATCAGAGAGCTGAGTTCAAATTCCAGTTGAATCCATTACATTCACTTATGTGCTAATACTCTTGGGAAAGGTATAAATCCTCTTCTTCTTCCCCCTGCTATGGGTAAATAGCAGGACAGACCAGGTTCTATAGCCTTGGATAGCAACTGGTCTATCGCAGAAAGAAATGGCAACCTACTACAGGAAAAAAAAAAATCTGCCTCATCAATCATCTACTGAAAGATAGATGATCGCCTAAGCATGTATCATGCACGGCTCATAACTGACTGATAGTTGAAATAAATTGAATACATAAAATATTTCATGTAAAGAAAATCCACTCTACCATAGTTTCCCACCGCAACATTTCAAACCAAACATTTTCTAGCAATCTTTTGAGGCAGGTGTATAGGCAAAAATTAATATGTAGTGTGTGACCATAATAAGCACCAGAAATATTAACATATGGTCACTGGGGAACATATTTGGTACCCAAGAGTACCTACATAAATTAGTTTTTTTTTTTTTTTTTTTTTTTTTTAATGTGCCAGAGCCCTTTAGGACATAGCCGATAAGTATATTTATTTATTTTCATCTACTGGCCTGAATATTGCAGAAATCTTATTAAAGAAAAATATGCGGTCTCCAACATGACTCGAACCTACGTTCCCCTAGGAGAAATTGTCATCATATCAGACAGCTACTTAGTAAGTTGATGACCAAATTTTTCTCTAAGATTTCTCAAATATTCAGGCTGGTAGACAAAAATAAAAATAAATATACTGTATAATGAAAAAATGGAGCATCTACTGAAATCCATTAAAAATAACATTTAAGTAATAAAAATCTGTGTGATTAATAATTAAAAAAATTATTTATATATAATTATCTATTTATTGGTCTCACTCTCTCTCTCTCACTATATATATATATATATATATATATATATATATATTTTAGACTGGTTGCAATGTAACATCATCCAGCTGTTGCGAGCCCACCGTGTGGAAAGCTACTGAGCTTAATGGGACGAAACCTTGCTGAAGCACGGCGTTCAGCTGAAGATTGCAGCTAGTCTAGAGCACTTGATGTGCTCTTGTGTTCTGTATATGTATATATATAATTAGGAAGATTTGAAATAATCATCGAATCTAGAAAACTCAAAAGAATGCTGAAAGCACTGGACAGCCATTTTGTCCTATATTTGGGACTCATCAGCAGTGCGCATTCACTACCGTGAATTGAAACCCGAACAGTTACGATAGGAGGCAAACACCATACCAACTGTACCAACGGTTCTCGGAGACGAAGAGGTAATGAATTAGACTCCATATCGCACTGCTCAATCTATATCGATATATATATACACACACACACACACACACACACACACACACACACAGAAATAAAGAACAGTCATATTAATAATCCAGTTCTTTAGCATTTATTTTTCAAAAAAGTGCTCGATACAAAGTAGAGCATAATATTATATTATTATCTAAATATATTTTTTTCATCGCAACATGGAAATATCTATGTTTCGGGACATAAAATTTTGTTCCAATTTTCAAGCAATAATCAATAACTTCAGAGAAAATGATTCATTTTTTTTAAGCTATTGAATATTGCTTTAAAATTGGGCTAAAATTTTATGTTCTGAAACAAATTTCTGTGTTGCGATGAAAAAATATTTTTAAATAATAATATTATAATATATCACTTTCTTTCTCTCTCTCTCTCTCTATATATATATATATATATATCTCTCTCTCTATCTCTCTCTCTATATATATATATATATATATATATATATATATCTATATATATATATATATATATATATATATATCTATATATATATATCTATATATATATATATATATATATATATATATATATATATATATATATATATATATATATATATATATATATATATATATATATATATATATATATATATATATATATATATATATATATATATATATATATATATATATATATATATATATATATATATATATATATATATATATATATATATATATATATGTCTTTCTTTTCTCTTATATATATGTATAGAGAGAGATAGACATCGAGATCTATAGGATTAATAGAAATAGAAAATTTACCACTTAGCTTATTACCATTACATTCAGTATCTCTACTTAAGAGTTTCATAGATGAACCTTTGTGAAAGTCATAAGTTTGGTAATCATTTCCAATTTGATAGTTTTTACTTATTCCTCTTTTATTTTGAGACAATAGTCTTTTAAACAAATGGTGATAATCATTTCAAAGGAACAGAAGACACATTTTTTTCTATTCTTGTCATGAAATTGCAAAGACCACCCAGTCTGAGAGAATGATGAAAAATAGTTTTACACACATTCTTTTTTTTATAATTTTTTTCTTAGAGACAGAGGATGTCATGTCAGGAATGGTTTGTCAAGGAATTTTGACAAGCTGAACACTGATTTTAATTACAGTGTATTGCACGTAACTTTACCACCTGTCAGTGTGGAATCACTGGGTTTTGAGGCTTGAAAGACTCGCCCTTATTAGAAACTTGTGTTGGCTCAATGAAAACAGTATTTTGTTGTTAAGTCTTTTACCATTATGTTGCCATTTTGTTTTGACAAATAACCAGTAGCCATTTCTCATTTCTTCTCCTTTTCGCAGAAAGAATTCAAATATACAAACCCTTTACTGATGGAATTTTGTTGCCTTCACATTATGAGGAAGAAAGAATTAACATTAGTTTCTTTGTGGATGGATGGATGGCCATTTGCATCCGAGGATGACAGTCTACTACAATGACGAGCCAATCCCTGTTGCAGACGTCTGCTCAGGCATATTTACAGGATAAACTACATGTGGACTCTACAAAATGCAAGAGTCTTCAAAAGGGATTAGCTATCTGCTCTAGCAGATAGGTATGCTCAGAGACAAATATCTAGCCATTATTACTATTATCTATGTCCTGTAGACCCTCCTGTGAAGAACTGGGCCACGGACATCATCTTGTTAGGTGTTGCTACTGTTGTGATTTTATGTAGCAAATAAGTTTTTCTAGGTTGGAGTTGCTAACCCTGCACCCAACTGATTTTAAGTTCAGCATTTATGATCACATAGACTGGTTACCAACCAAGGCTTAGAGAACAGAGAAAATTTATAAGAGTCTATAAGATAATATCACATTTTTATTTTAATTTCTATAATTATCTGATTTTGATTTTGATTTCTATAATTAATACCAGATTTTTAATTTAATTTCTAGAATATCAGATTTTTATTCTAATTTCTATAATAATACCAGATTTTTAATTTAATTTCTAGAATATCAGATTTTTATTCTAATTTCTATAATTAATACCAGATTTTTATTTTTATTTCTATAATTAATACCAGATTTTTATTTTTATAATTAATACCAGATTTTTATTTTAATTTCTCATTATGGGCAACTGTGATAATTTATTAAATTTGTGTAAACCTAATTTTTTGAAGTAACTTATTAGCAATTAAATAAATTCCATTTTGTTTTTGTTTAAGGTATTTTTCTGTATTTATCTCCAATAATCTAATTATTTCCATCCATTCCTTAATAGAGTGTTTTTCTTAAACTGTAGTCATCTGTCGTTTTCATCAAATATGCAAGCCAAAAGCCAGTCTAATCCTAAATCGTTTCTTGTCTTCTTTACATCGAATGTTTATATTGTAGCCACAGCTTGACCGACTTCAAGGAGAGGCAAATCTGTTTTCCTTCCTATTACATGCAAATGAGCCACCTGGGTCTTTCATGCGGAGAAACTGTTTTAAAGATCTTCCGCTTCCTTGATACTAATAATATTTTTGATAGTCAGTTGGAAATTAGATCTCCACAAGGAAATACCGCATGTAGACTAACCTTGTTATTGCAAAATGTTCACTACTCCCAGATCAAAGCTTGATAAGTCTTTTTAGGCTCCTCTCTGGTATTCATCACTAAGAACAAGATAACAGGGAATTACATATATACATGCATATATGTCTGTGTGTGTACATGTACTGGGTATGACGATAGACTACATCTGGCAGCAAAGGAGGTTTTCAGGCATGTGGAACCAGCTCGTAATTGCCGTTGTTCCCAGGTCCGCCCTGACCTGGGGTGGTAGCACCTGTTAGGGTCCTAGCTATGAGCAAATAGTTAACCCCCAACTGGGTGGGAAGACTGGGCTTGTTAGCCTTGGTTGGCAGCTAGTCTAGGAGATGGAAAACCCTGACCCTCAAATCTTTACAATTGCAAATAAGTGCTGGACAGCCTTGGGAAGTGATGTTCCAAGGTCAAATGCTCTTTCGAGTACTGACAGGAGTTTCCTTTCTAACCTTTTGTTTAAGGTAGTGTAAAGGTGATAAAGATAGCTAATCAAGAGAAAGGTAACTCTTAAATTCAAAACCATGGAGAAGGCAATGGGAAAATGCTCCTATCTTTCCTAAGATAAACATTTTAATTCAGATTTTTGAAAAAATGAAGCTGTGGAGGGCTATGTCCTGAAGGATATAATTCTTTTTTTTTTCTTTTTCTTTTTGTTTAAAACATATTTCAAAAACAATTTACAACATTTACTATTGTTAACATTAGTCCAAGGACAAGAAATTTGAGATTTCTATTGGCTTACAGTTATGTCATTTTGAAACATTAGATCTTGCCTGATTACTGAAATTAAGCAATATCGAGCCTGGTTGGGTGACCACTTGGGAATATCAGGTGCTATCATCTTGGATGTGCAGTTGGTGTAATGGATAACAGCTGACAATTGGAAATTGGAGATCTGAGTTCCAATTCCAGTTGAGTTCGTTATATTCATTTATGCACAAATACCCATGAGAAAGATATGAATCCACCACTTCCCCAGCTATGAGTTAAATAGTAGGACTTGTATCAGTAAATCATCTGCACCAAAAAATTCTTACAGTCTGAAAATATTTTCTGTCCTTAAATAGCCTGCAAAAGTTTGATAAAATATAAAAAAAAAAAGAAAAGATAAATTAATTGAGATCTATATTTTTCTAATAATTGAGTGGGCTGAAATTGAGAAAGAAACTGAGTTGGTCAGCCATTAATTTTCTTTTTTCCTTTTGGTTCAGCAATTTTTCATTCCTTACTCGAGAGGGTTGTTATAAAAAGACACTTGTCAACTGTTATTTCCTGTATTTTAAGCTAGAAATCACCTACTACTGCTTTGGAATGAGGCTAAACTTCCATTTTCTGATGCTATTTTTAATTCTTCTAGACTCTACATGAGGTGTAACATTGAAATCCATGTTAATTTTATTATAATTTTTTTGTAAATAAAAATCGACTTTATCCAGGAGTTTCTTTGATTCAAACTCCGATGATGATTTTGTTGATTTTACTCAGGCAGATTGTTGTAGAGTAGTTTTCACAGTGGAGGCTTGTATTTTCAACTAAGCTGTCCTAAATTAGGTTCGACATACAAAACGTTAGGAACTTGAAATAAGAGTTAATGATGCAGCAATCTAGTTGTGATGGTTGATACTTCAACGTCTGACATCAACTGACTCACTCAACACCACTGAGCTCAACTGGCGACCACTACTACTACTACTACTACTTATTATGTGTGGGAGAGTCTATTAATAATAGAATAGGTACGTTCAGGTATGACGCAGATATTGATGGTAAGTGGTTAGAGATAAGAGATGGTAACAATACTAGTGACAGGGAGGAAATCCCATGAAGATAATAAGGTGCTGAGCAGCTACTATCAACCAGAGCTGACTAATTTTATGGAAGCTACTGGCCCCATGGATATACCTGATAGCCTTTCTGAAAGTGAATTATTTTGTCTGTTTATAAACAATGAAATAACTTTATTTGTCAACAAGACAAATAAATATGCTAATCAGGTTAAAGAGCAAACAAATGCTGGTGTCTACTTGTATATAAACACAGGGAAGGTCATCACTTTTGACAAAATGAAAGACTTCTTAGCCATTTTGCTTCTTATTGCACCCCAGAGCTTCACAAGGAGTAATAAAAGTTAAAGTATGTTAAATTGTTAATGTATTTGTTAATTTTTTTTGTTTTAAATGTCAAAACATGCATGCAAAGCGTAATGCATTACATCAAAATATTACTCACCCATTCTTTTATTAGTATAAAAAAAATAAAATCTATACACACAATACAAAGAAAGTTATAACAATTTTAAAACAGTAGGTGCTCATATTTTTTGCACCCTCAAAAAAAAAAAATGCATTGGCAGGGGGAACAATTCTAGAAAGAATTTGGTGGGGTAAAGGTTAATTCCACCTGTTCTAACCTTCACAGCTAAGACCTGCCATGCCACACACATTGTAGTACACTACCCTCATTCCACTTATAGAAAATTTATAATCATAATTGCTCCGGTTATGATCACTTATTGCCATTTCTCAAACTGTCATACATTTTTCAGCGTGTTTGTAGTGGCCTGGAAATTGTAGAAAATGTGCTCTGTAGCAACAACTTAAGCAATTCTAGGCCCACACCAAAATGCAGGACATTTCCTTATGTCTAGCATCCACTTCATGTTCGGGGAAGAATGACACAGCAAACGCACACTCAACATCTTCTTGGAACTGTTTTTGATTTCATTTTATTTCAATCTTATTTCCCTTTAACTCAACTCTCCACGTTTTCGTTCACTACTGGTATTGAACTCCCAAATCTTTGGATCTATGTAACTGGATTTAACCAATGCCTTTATTCACTGACTAGACTCAAAGAGTTGTGAGTTCAATACCAGGCTGCGGCAGTATTCCATGGTCGATATGTAAGTTCCACTCAAGCAGCTTCTTCCATGAACCACTGCCTTGTGAAACTCTCCCAAAAGGATTCTTCCCCATCACTACAATCTTAACCCATTCAAGCCCATAGTTAGCCCTTATCTTTTCCATATATCCCCATAAACCCTGTCTCTTACCTTTTAACCCTCTACCTAGAGTGGATCTTGGACAGTGTATAATGTGAACATCATTGTAAAAAAGAAGCTGCCATAACTGCAAAGCACAATCAAACAAGAAACAAACCCATTAAAATATTGGCTGTTTTTTTTTAGCTACATAACCACCTTAAAGTAGTAAGCCAATTCAGATATCTTGACTTGATCATCAGTAAACAGAGCTCCAGAACAAATAATTTCCAGAGTATCACAAACTTAGTTTTACAACAGCAGCCATAGCTATCTGGAAAGACAAAGACATTGGATTGAAATCAAAGATCAGGCTGTTCCATGCCTCAGTCTTCTTAAACTTACCATGTATCTGTAAATCTTGGACATTAACAGCAGAATTACAGTGAAGAATCCAAGCATTCATCATCATCATCCTTTGACCTCCCTATGGTTGGTTGGAACTCCATTGACAATGCCTTTTCCAAACTGTTCACCCCTGTATTGCTGTCTTCAGATCCTCAATCTCCAACCTTGAGTCCCGAGCTATGGTGTCTGGGAAAGTCAATTTTCATGAGAAGACACTTCCAGAAGGATGAGATGATTTCCCTGTCCACTTGGTGGCAGTGGCCAGCTTTAATCGTTTTTGTTTGAGCTTAAGAGAGATTGAGCTCAGTTTTCCATAAATTGTGTTAAGCGTTGCATGGGATCTCCAACTGATGTTCTGGATTTTTCTAAGTAGATTTGTATATGTTCCATCCATAAACCCTGTCTCTTACCTTTTAACCCTCTACCTAGAGTGGATCTTGGACAGTGTATAGGGTGAACATCATTGTAAAAAAAGAAGCTGCCATAACTGCAAGACACCATGCCTTGAGCACCAATTGGGACACAGACCTCAAGTGAAACTCTTACAAACAATCCATTGCCAAAGATGCTGGAAAAATGGTCAGTTCCCTGTACTGCTCCAGCAAGTACCTGACTCTTCATGATTTAAAATCAGACTGTAAATGGAGTACTTCTGCCATATATGGGCAGGATTTGCCTTGTCTTCATTTTCCATTCAATTGAGTCCAAATTCCAGTCGAATCCATTACATTGACTTACATGCTAATACCCTTGGGAAAGGTATGATTCCTTTTCTTCTCTCCCCAGCTATGGGTAAATAGCAGGACAGACCGGGTTCTATAGCCTTGGATGGCAACTGGTCTACCGCATAAAGAAATGGCAACCTACTGCAGGAAAATATCTGCCTCGTCAGTCATGTATTGAAAGATACATGATTGCATAAGCGTGTATCACACATGGCACATAACTGACTGAGACAGGCAAAGGGTTAAGAAAGGCATGTCCCTTGTCAGGAAAACTATATTTTGAAGATTATGTCTACTAAATTTATTTTAATTTTTTTCTTTTTTTTTTTATAATGTTGTTCTTTGACATGATTTTTCTTTGATCTTTCAATAAAAACTGATAATGACAATTCTATATCTGGACAATGCAAGACTTATTAAGTCTTACTGTTATGGTAGGTAACGGTAATATGGTATAGAGGAAAAGAAATTGATAAAGAATGTACCTGTATGACCAAATTTGAATGATGTTTATTGATCGGTATTGGTACTGCAATTGCCAAAGCATTATGCCAGACAGGCTCTCAAGGATACTGAATGCAAATTCATATCTCATAAAAAGATAATTATTTTCCAACTCATGCTATTTACTGAAGTTATTGAATGGATATAAAAGACAAAAGCAAAAATGGCAAAAGAAAAAGAAAATGTGAAAAACAAAGAGAAAAGAAAAAGAAAAAGTAAAGAGAAAGTAAAAAGAGAAAAGAAAAAAAAAAAAAAAAAAAATTGAGAAAAGAAAAATGGAAAGAGGAAAAAAGAGAAAAGAAAAAGAGAAAGTAAAAAAAGAGAAGTAAGAAAGTAAAAAGGAGAAAAGAGAAGTACAAAGGAAAGGCAAGAAAGAGAAGTACAAAGGAAAGGAAAGAGAAGTACAAAGGAAAGAGAGAGAAGTACAAAGGAAAGAGAGAGAAGTACAAAGGAAAGGAAAGGAAGAGAAATACAAAGGAAAGAAAGAGAAACAAGAATTGAAAGCCAAAAAGAAAGAGAACGAGAAAAGAAAAATAGAGAACAGTAAGGGGAAGAAAAAAAGAATGTCAAAAAATGAATCTTTGAAAAATTAGTAAAGTTTATTCAAAATATTTTTATTTATATACATGTTAAATTATATATTTTACTTGATTCATAAACTTTCAGTATAGTGTCACAGAAAGACCAATTTCCCAAAACCAAAACTAAACTTTTACAGTTTAACAGAAAGATTTCATTAGAAACAGAGAAAAGAGAAATTGAATTGTTATGTAATATCAGTCCTCCTATATGGCAGTGAATGCTGGACAATCTCCTCACAGATGAAGAAGAGACTTGAAGCAAGAGAAACAAAGAAAAGAGTACTGAACTGTTATGCAATATCAGTCCCCCTATATGTCAGTGAATACTGGACAATCTCCTCACAGATGAAAAAGAGACTTGAAGCAAGAGAAACAAAGAAAAGAGTACTGAACTGTTATGTAATATCAGTCCTCCTATATGGCAGTGAATGCTGGACAATCTTTGCACAGAAGAGACTTGAAACAACAGAAATATGATGCTGAGGATAACATTGGAATGGACATGTGAACAATAACAAAGTTTTAGAGAAAACAGAAACAAAAAAGAGATTTATATCAGAAAGAGAGGGTTGAAATTTATATAATTGAAATTTTACATAATGAGAAAAGAAGGCTTGGAAAAACTGATACTCACATGACAGATTGAAGGCAAGATGGAAAGAGGAAAACAACACATAACATACTTTATGAGCTTGCTTAAATGGATGGCAGAACAAGATTTAGAAGAAATAACAAAAAGACAGAGTTTATTAAGACAGGTAATTGTGGGGAGCCATGATCACTCCATCAAAAAGAACATCTACACCTTTTGGTAAGCAGTCATAAAGAAAGTTTACTTTGGAATAAAAATAAGTTAAACATGAACTAAACAAGTAATTAAAAGAAGAAAAAATTATCAATAAAACTGACGTTGATATAAAATGAACACGAAAAACAAACATCAGATAAGCAAATCATCATCTCATAAAACCTGAGGGAGGCAAAACACATAGGAATTAGAAGTGGGGTACCAAAGTCTACGTACATCTTAGAAGGATTTAAGAGAATACCCAGTAGGGAATGCAAATCCCGACATCTCATTTTAAATTAGCAAAATTGTGCAACAAAGAAAATATTTTTTAACATGAGTGAAGTTGATTTTTATAATTTGTCTTTTAACTATATAAAGAGAGAGAGTGTTGCAAAAAAATTCTAATATTTAACATTTTTAATGATTTGAAAAGCAGTATTCTTTTTGTTTGTTTTTTTTTTTTTGTGACATTGATGCTCGTGTTTATTTTTCTTTGGATACTTTTACAGTTAATGATTTTAAAAAGCAATATACTTTCTTACATGTGATAATAGAGTTAATTGTAGAGATAAAAATCCTAGATTAATCATTCAGAAAATAATGCAGTTGTAAAATTAAATACTTAGGTATTATTTTTAATGGCATATGTAAATTGGTTTAAAAAGAAAAGTTATTTCAAATGATTATTGTAATTTCATGTTAAATTTTACCTAATATTTAACATGTCAGATTTAGTATGTTAAATTACTTTTTTTCCTTTTTAATATGGCTGACTGTTGTGATCTGACAGACCAATTCCTGCATTTTTAATTTTCTCTTTCAGATCTTGCACTGATGTCATTTGCTGCATCTTGTTTGTCCTCTGCATCATTGGAATGGTAGCTGTCTGTTTCCTTGGTAAGTCTATTTATACTTAAGTACTTTTTCTCTTTTTTCTATCTTTCAAAACGTTTGAAGATCTTGTCTTGAAGTTCTCACACACACTCATTCTTTTTGCACTCTCTCACTTTCTATCTCTCTCTTTTGCACTCTCTCTTTCTCTCTTTTGCACTCTTTCCCTTTTGCATTCTCTCTTTCTCTCTCCCTTTTGCACTCTCTCTCTTTCTCTCTCCCTTTTGCACTCTCTCTCTTTCTCTCTCCCTTTTGCACTCTCTCTCTTTCTCTCTCCCTTTTGCACTCTCTCTTGCACTCTCTCTTTTTCACTCTCTTTCACTCTCTCTTTTTCACTCTCTCTTTCACTCTCTCTCACTCTCTCTCTTTCACACTCTTGCACTCTCTCTCTTTCACACTCTCTTTTGCACTCTCTCTCTCTTTCACACTCTCTTTTGCACTCTCTCTCTTACTCTCTCTCTTTTGCACTCTCTCTCTCTCTTACTCTCTCTCTTTTGCACTCTCTCTCTTACTCTCTCCCTTTTGCACTCTCTCTCTTTCTCTCTCCCTTTTGCACGCTCTCTCTCTTTCTCTCTTGCACTCTCTCTTTTTCACTCTCTCTTTTTCACTCTCTCTTTCACTCTCTCTCATTCTCTCTCTTTCACTCTCTCTCTTTCACTCTCTCTCTTTCACACTCTTGCACTCTCTCTCTTTCACACTCTCTTTTGCACTCTCTCTCTCTTTCACACTCTCTTTTGCACTCTCTCTTTCACACTCTCTTTTGCACTCTCTCTCTCTTACTCTCTCTCTTTTGCACTCTCTCCCTTACTCTCTCTCTCTCTCTTTTGCACTCTTTTCATTTTCTTTTTTCCTATTTCTGCTGCCCACTAAAGAAGATGCATCACTCTTGGGCAATCTTTTTTTTCCCATCTTTCAGAAAGTTTTGACAGTATTGTCTTGAAGTTATCATTCTCTCTCACACACACACTTGCACTCTCTCTCTCTCTCACACACTTGCACTCTCTCTCTTTCACACTTGCACTCTCTTTCTCTCACACACACACACACTCTTGCACTCTCTCTCTCTCTCTTTTCTCACATTCTTTCACTCTCTCTCTCTTTAATTCACACTCTTGCACTGTATCTTTCTTTCACTCACTCTTTCCATTTCCTTTCTGACGGCCACCAAACAAGATGTGTCTGTCTTGGACAATCCCTCAAGTATTTTTACATAAAAATTTATATAAGCAGTTTTACCATCTGGCCATCCTTGTACTTCTGACCCATGATCATCAAAGAAAGATCATAAATTTGATTTCCTCATTCCACCACCATCCAAAAATGACTGGTCTTGGCACGTGCCATACCTCAGGGGGACTACAAATTTCTACTCCTTTTTTCTTTTCTTTTTTGTTGTTGTTGTTGTTGCTATGATTGGTGAATGAAAGAGGATTGACTGTTGTTGCTAATTGAAATGATAACTGGTCTTTTTAGAGCCAAAAGTGAACCAAGATGGCGGTATCACTTGGGTTGTTGAAAGAATTAATAAAAAAAATACATGGTAACTTTCTTTTTTCTATTCTTTTGATTAAAGATTTCTAAAATGAAATGTTAGCATTTGTTATGTTGACTGATAAATAATTTCTGTTTTTGTTTATCACCTTTATTCTACAAAAAGTAAAATACAATTAACATTTTATTCAACTCTATAGTCACCATTATTTGCAATGACTTCTTGCTCTTATCAGTCATCTCTTCAATGTCTTTCGAGATAAATTAAAAAAAAAAATGTAACAAATTCTTAATCTGGCTTTCATTAAAAAGTTTTTCCCATCAAATGTTTTTCAGTGATCCAAAAAAAAAAAAAAAAATCAGTTGGTGCAAATTCAGATAAATATAGCTGCATCAGGTAGAACAGTCTGAGAATTTTTTTTCCTGTTATTCATGCTGTATGCAGTCTTGTATTGTTGTGGAGGAGAAAAATATTTTTACTATTGTCAAGTGTAGGGCACTTTTCAACCAAACCTTTATAGACATGTTGCAGCTGCTGGGCATAAAAAATGTGCATTTAGTTTTTCATAGCATTTTAAGAACTCTTAATGAATGACACCCAGCAATCTCACAACATTCTCCTTGTCTGTCCACAGATTTTGTGTTGAACATTGTTGTGTTACTACAAATGTGGGGCACTTTTCAACCAAACCTTTATAGACATGTTGCAGCTGCTGGGCATAAAAAATGTGCATTTAGTTTTTCATAGCATTTTAAGAACTCTTAATGAATGACACCCAGCAATCTCACAACATTCTCCTTGTCTGTCCACAGATTTTGTGTTGAACATTGTTGTGTTACTACAAATGTGGGGCACTTTTCAACCAAACCTTTATAGACATGTTGCAGCTGCTGGGCATAAAAAATTGCATTTAGTTTTTCATAGCATTTTAAGAACTATTAATGAATGACACCCAGCAATCCCACAACATTCTCCTTGTCTGTCCACTGCTTTTGTGTTGAACATTGCTGTGTTACTACAAATATATTCTTAACTACTATGTATGATTAGTAGTTACAATGATATATTCGTTAATACAATTGGTTGCTAAAAAATGCCTAATAAATAGCAGCAGAAGGCAGATGAAATGTTGTATAAATGTTGATTAAAATTCTGCAGGAATTTGGCTTACATTAGAGAAGGTTTTCCCTATTAAAGCATTCTACAGCAATATTCAAAATAGTAATGATCAGTTGGTGCAAGGTTGGGTCAGGGTAGAGCAGACCAACCGAGTTCCAAAACATTTTCTTGTCTTATCCTTCATAGAGAACAACATTTTTCCTATTGATGAGCACAGAGCACTTTTGATGAAGTCATTATGGACACATTGCAGCTGCTGGGCGTATAAATGTACATTTAATGTTTCATTGCATTTTAAGAACATTTAATTCAAACAGACACTGACGATCTTGCAACATGACCTTTCTTTCAATGAGCTCAGCTTTTGGAGTCTGCTGTAGTTATTCGTCCTTGTCAATCCCCTATCATATGTGTTGAACATTGTTGTGTGTTACTGTATTTCAAATTTATTCTTAACTGCTACATATGGTTATTAGATAGGATAATACACTCATCTTTATAATTTGTTCCCCCAAAATAAATTATTTATGTCTCAACATAATAAATAATATGAAATATTGTCATTTCATACTTGGCTGGTCAGTCATAATTTCTTGACCATAAACACTACATATTTTTCTAGATATCTCCATAGTATCATTCGCTTTCGTGAACTCCTATATCATTGTGATGTAAATACTTTCAATCCCTCTTCTAATTTTTTTTCAATTTCACCCTAAGCAAGGGAGTAAAGTCACTAAGACAGAAGGGGGTCACTAGGTGTAGAAGAATTAGAAACAGAAACATTACTGAATGGCAAGAGAAAAAAATAATCAGAAGGACAGGAGATAGTGATTGATATTGCATTTAAATTTTTACAGATAGAAGTTGGCTGGAAAGCATGGAGTCAGTAGGGAGTTCCACAAGCGAGAAGTGTGAGAAAAGAAACTGTTAGCATACAATTTATGGTTACATTTAGCCAGCTCAGCTGTCAATTGATTATATCTCAACACCAGTCTAGTACAGCGCTTAAATTTAAAAAATTTGAGTACCATAGTGAAGAGCCCACCTGCACAATTACCATGAAAGTATTTATAGAAAAAGGCACAGGGAGGTAACCTTACGCTGGTGAGAAAGTGACTGAAACTGAGCTGCCAGATCAGGGCTAATAATATTGCTGATTCTTTTTTGGATCTTATCAAGGAGCTCAAGGTAAATAGCAGGAGAACTGGAATATATGTGGCAGCAATATTCTAAGCATGGATGAATGGTAGACTTATAGATATGTAAGATAGATTCTGAAGAGAAAAATTGTCTTGCACAATATGTTGAGCCAAATTTCTTAGCAGCTGATCTATCAATGGATTCAATATAGTCTTTTCACTTCGTGTCAGTTAAGAATGTTAACCATTAGAAGGAGCAGTGGGTTAAGAAATATTTACTTTCATTCACTGTGTATGCTGCTACTACCATACAAAACTAAGATGCGTTAGTGAAATCCAAATTTATTCTTAATTGCCACAGTAGGTGATACATGCATCATTACAATTGGTTTCCCAAAATCAAATTACTTACGACTCAAGCTATCTATCTATCTATCTCTCTCTCTCACTCTCTCTCTCTCTCTCTATCTATCTATCTATGTACTCCATTTAACTGCCACATGTCATTAGTGGTTAGGATGATGCATCTGTAATTACAATTTGTTACCAAAAATGGAAATTACTTATGACTCTCTCTCTCTCTCTCTCTCTCTCACTCTCTATCTATCTATCTATCTATCTCTCTATCTATTAATGTACTCCATTTAACTGCCACATGTGATTAGTAGTTAAGATAATCTATTCGTCATTACAATTGATTCTCCAAAAAAACAAATTACTTACAACTCAACATGTTTTCTGATCTTTCTTTGTATCTATTTATTTGAGAGACAGAAAATAGTCTAGACATGAGTAAAAATGTGGGATCAATTTAGTTATATATGAAACCCTTTAAAAATTAACCTGAAAAGTCATTAACATACCTAACATTGTTTATATAATTGAATCTCTTTATACTTGCTGTCTTTGTTAAGTTAATGTTTTAGCTGATCCATTTTGCAGCCCTTGTTAAATGTAATCTTTGAGGAGACAGGAAGGGAGAAAATTATTTTCCAGAAAAGAAATGGCAACAGAAAATAGTCACTGATGTACCAACTCTTTGATTGGTATGTACTGGAAGGAGTCATTCAGGTTTTTAGGCTGGACTGGTCTGGTCTGGTCTGGTGTGGTGTGGTTTTTAGGCTGGACTGGTCTGGTCTGGTGTGGTGTGGTGTGGTGTGGTTGAAGAAAAGAAAAAGATGAGGCAAGAAAGAATCTCATCTTACTTTTCGTCCGAAATATTCAAATCTGCAAAATATATGAAAATTATTGTCCGAAAATTTATTTAAATTCTCAGTTTCTTTTATGTATATATCAAATTAACCATTACCAAAATTGGCCAGCAATAAATAATATAATTTTCAACATCTTTGTGTTCATCAGAAAATCATGATCTAGATCTCTATCCTTATGTTTCTTTGAGTGCTGAATCCATTTCTGATACTGAAAATTCCATCAAAAGAAGTTTAAATGGGTTAAATGCAAAATCTTGAAGATTTTTGGTTCTTTACAGCAAACCAAGATTTTTAGATCTGAACCTTTTTTTTTTTTTTAAATAAAAATGTAAAAATTGTGTTTTAATATTCTTCTTAAGTAAAAATAATAATTAATAGTTTCATGATTATGCTGAAAATAATTCAGTGGGCTCAAAAATCACACATCTGCTTAGCTCTCTTGTGGGAAACCACTGCCCTGCTTAATTATGAAGGGTTTAAAAAAAAACAAAAAAAAATCCTGTTTATTTGATTAGAATTTGGGTCAATAAATTTCAGCACTCTCTTCTGACAAGCAAGATGAAGATGTTATTCAAAGTAAGTCAGTTTAGAAATAAAGATGAACTTAGAAGAGACCCCCCACCTCTTACTCTCTCTGATTAAAATCAGTGTAAAGCCAAAAATTAAAGACATTTTTGTTGTTGGATCAGTAGATTGATTTGTGTTAAGTGACAAAATGACTTTTTATTTGTTTTGAAAGTTTTACAAATGTTCTTTTAAGAATGAGTTTGACATTTAAGTCCTTCATGAAAAAAACAAAATTGCACACTTTAGTCCTTCTCAACAGACTCCCTGGTCAATGAACATCTGTTTCACAATTTCCCCAACTAACTGAATGAGTAAAGTTAAGAATTTTTTTAGAGCTTAAAGGTTTAGAACTTATATATTTATCATGTATGTTAAGACTGGTGAAATATATAAGATCAAATAAAATGAGGGCAAACATGGACTTTTGTAAGACACAGTGACTTTTGTAAGACACAGTGGCAAAAGGATGGTTTTTTCCTTGACACCGCTATTATTTTAACTCCCTTCACTTTTCTGTAATGTTTGTTTTAAAAAGTGATGATTAGAATTGTAATAAAACCTAAACATATGATGAAAGTGAACTTATACATTTTCTTTATTCTTGAGAATTTACAACAAAAATAATAAACACTTTATTAGATTTATTATTTATAGTATTTATATATATATATAGTATTTATTATTTATAGTATTTGTAGTATTTGTTATATTATTTTTTGGAATTGTGGGAAAAACATCGGTAAATTGCCAATTGATTCAACCTTTATAAAATGGTAAATAATAAGGATTTCTTTATAGTTGGTTCACATACTTTAATAATTTAAAACATGGGTATGAATTTATGAATAGAAAATTGTTTTCATATTTATTTCTTTATAAATTGGTAAATGATAAATATTGCTGTAATGTCAAAAGTATGCAGATGTAGGCTTTAAGAAAGCTTTATTCAACTGAGAATACAAGGTTTGCATATAGTGTCCTTTTATAGTCCCAGTAAGCAGAAATAGATCTCTCAAAGAGGAAAGTAATGAAACAAGGGGAGATCACTCTTGATTATTCATAACACGAAGGAAACGCTTACAGTCTCAAACATAAACGACAGATATTTAGTTATTCTTGAACCAAGTGTAATGACAAAAGTATACAGGTGTAAGCTTTAATAAAGCTTTATTCAACTGAGAATACAAGGTTAGCATATAGTATCCTTTTATAGTCCCAGTAAACAGAAATAACTCTCTCAAAGAGGAGTGTAACAAAACAAGGGGAAACAACTCTTGATTATTCATAGCAATTGCTAATTGTATTAGTTTTTAGAATGTTGTAAATAAACACTCTAATAAATAAATAGTGTTTAATATTTTTGTTATAAATTCTCAAGAACAAAAAAATGTATAAATTCATTTTCATCATATGTTTAGATTTTATTACAATTCTAATCATTGCTTTTTAAAATAATAAACATTGCCAAAGAGTGCAGGTAGTTAACATGAAAGTGGTGTCATTGGAAAAATCATCTTATTGCAAGCACGAAGAGCCATGTTTGCAAATATATATATATATATATATATATATATATAAACTCTTCATTTAAAATTTTTCTTGGATCCAAAGACCTATCTTCTAGTCAACTGCTTATTAAATCAAATGTCAACTGAATAAATTATTCCATCTCCACAATAAGTATTTTGACTTTTTGACCTTTACATGCTGTGAGTTGGATAAAGATTGGACTCTTTTATTCGGAATTGGTCAAAGGTGATCATTTATAACAAGATATCACCTCTGTCAGTCATCACTATATTTAATGATTGAAATTTTGGTTCTACTGAAATACCTACTCTAGGTTTAGGGATAGTTTCTGCAGATCAAGAAGAACTTTACCCCCCCCCCCAATAAAGTATGCTAATGAGAATCACGACCTAATAAAAATCCAAAGATTTGATCTCTTTGTAAAAGATGAATAGTGACTCAGAGTTCAAATCCCAGTTGAGTTTGTTGCATTCAATTATTTTCAAATACTCCCCCCCCACAAGGAAAGTTATGAATCTTCTCCCCCGCTTTAGGTAAATAGCAGTACAGACTGGTATATATAGCTTTGGTTGGCAGCTAGTCTAGTAGAAAAAAAACTGAATTCAAACCAGTCTGGAAAGGGTTGGGTTCCATGAATCTATTTTGCCCAAGATACACAGCTACGTTTTTGCCTCTGTGACCATAATGGATTACGGCAGAGGTTGCAAAATGGTGTGGTGGAAGAGGATAGCAGGTGAGGCAGAATGATTAAAAAACAATCAAATATTTTGAAACAGTTTCAAAAAGTTTATATGCCAAAATAAACAGGATTACAAAATTTAAAATATTATTATGAAATACTTATAATTTAATGCCTGAGTCCTACAAAAGATAGTTATAAATAATTATTGACTGATTTTATCATTGTGATATTTTTGCATTATATCAAGTGTTAAGAATATAGTAACTTGGGTTGCAAATTGGAGGAGAGAGTTATCAATGACTAGCAGTAGAGCCTGGCGTTGCCCGGGATGTAACAGTAAGAGATAGATCAAGTATCGACCATCATAAAGGCTGAAAAATAAAATTGACAAAGATTATTGTTTAAGGTTGATGGGCACGCATGTCTTAATTAGTTTTTTTTTTTTTTTTTTTTTTTTTTTTACGAATTGGTCAAACCCAAATTCAAACAAAAACATTGTTTACAATCGTTATGAGTCTATCGATTGGTGAATAGAATTTTATTATAAACAATTGTTTTGTAAATGGAATTTTTAAAACATTCTGAATGTAAAAATAAAAAAAAATGTGCAAGACAATAAGAAACACTACCTGCCAAAAAAAAGTGAAGTTTTGTTGAAATCGGTTGAAAAATGTAGATAGCCTTTCTCTGTAATCTTTTACAATTTATGATTTTTACTTATTGAATACAGTAAAAAAAATTGCATATTTTGCTTGTGGTGATTCATAATTAGAATTCTGATTTGAATATATTTTCCACTCGTTTCTAATACAAAAAATATTAACTTTATTTGGGTTTATTAATTTATTACAAGTACTGTGTTCTTTCCTTAATAATTATCATCTTCGAAATATTGTTTTTTTTTGTCTATCAGATTTCTTACGTCGGCATTTTTAAATTATTTCTTAATACTTTCTTTTAAATATTGAATTAATTTCAAATAGAATGCCTTATTGATCTGTCTTGTAACAAATTGCAAAGGGAATTGTAAAAACGGTCCTAAAGTACGTGGAATTATCTTTCCCTAAAGATAAAGAATTATCCGATTTTTCGATTCGTAGAGTAGAGATCGTTAGATTATTGTTTAGGTTGACGGACACGCATGTCTTAGTTTTTTTTTTTTACGAATTGGTCAAACTCAAACAAATCATTGTTTTCAATATCGTTATGATGAGTCCCCCGATTGAATAGAATTAGAATTTTATTATAAACAATTGTCTTGTAAATGGAATTTTTAAAGCATTCTGAATGTATAAATAAAGAAAAAAGTGTGCAAGACAATAAGAAATACTACCTGCCAAAAAAAAAAAGTGGATGCTTGTTTTATCGGCTGAAAAAATGTAAGAAATCTGATCACATATATAAAGGAACACACACACACACACACACACACACACACACACACACACACACAAACAACCTGGGTTTTTTAACCTAAGTCACTCCACAGAATCGCTAAAACATAGAGCATAGTCTGATGAAAAAGATGCCAAAGTTTATGAAAACAAAATTTTATTGTCAAAATGCTTATGTTTTTATGAAGAGGATAGACTAAATTTTTTTTTAATTATTTTAAAATTTTTTCCATCTTTTAGAATATTCTAAATTTTGATTTAAAAAACCTTGTTTCTCTTTTTGTCGCAACAAGGGGTAGTAAATAATATAGATAATTTTTAGCACGTTTTTTGTATTTACACATTAATTTGGAAAATCTTGCAAAAATAAAAATAATTGTCAGATGTTAATGAAACTTTCAGAAACTATTCACAGATGATCGAAATTATTATAAATATGTGTTTTTTTATTAAAGTCATGGCAGAAATTTTTTTTTTTATATTTATTAACACCCCCCATAACTAATTTTATGAAAAAACTCTAGAAATTGAGACCATCGGTTTTAGTGATTACAATAGTTAAAAGCACAAAGCTTTGAAGAATGCAAATCATGTTTTTTTTTTTTTTTTTTGGTCAACGTACCTGAAAATCAGCTGTGAATTGTAACATGCAAAACTCAATAAGACAAATATATTATTTAGTTTCAAATGCTTTTATTTGTTTTAATTTGTTTTATGAATATGGACAATATTTTCTGAAAGCAAAAAATTTTTCAATGAAAATTGAATTTTAATACAATTATTTCTTATTTCTTTAATTTTAAAAAGATTTTTAAAAAATGTTTAAATTGAATTTTTAAAAATATTTTAACATTAGTTAAAAGCAACATCAACCTTTCAAAATGTCCGTGTGAGATTGTCATTGTCTAGCGCTTTGAAAATTGTATAATTTGGACCAATCAGATTAGCCATGGTAATTAAGAAATGTAATTTTTGTGTTTATAGTCGGACAGTAATTATCAAGTACAGAAGACCAACCAGAATACAATTTAGTTGCATTATTTGAGTTCAGCATTGTTCTCCGCTGTTAAGCCCTTTACTTTTATGGAAACACATATGGAGAAGTTAATTTGAGTTTTCAATTTCAACTGAGAAGGGTACCTACAAGTAACACTATCATCTTATGAAATTTAACTACTGCTAAACTTTAATTTATATGATCTTATTTTTATATTAATCTCAGTTATGACATTTTTCCATAAATGAAATATCAAACAAAATTAATAATAAAATGAATGGAAATACAAATAACACAGTAAAATGTAATAAATGTACATAAAATTATAGTATTTTATGTACACTTTTGATAAAATTTCATAAGAAAGGTACCTAAATTAATTAGATACCTTTTGTTCTTATGAAATTTAA